TGTGTCTAATGACTCTAATCCCGATATCCTTTATTAATGAGTGGAGTAGGTAGATGTTGAAACTGAAAAGTGAAAAGCTTACCCGGGCAGCTCAAGATTAAGATATACTATTAGTAGTAATGGGGTTAATACTTAGTTTATTCAGAAGAGATTACCGATAATAGAACTCCAATCTAACAATGAATAGTTAAAAATTTCAAACTTTACTAAGTGATAGGACTATAGTATTTATTAGATGAGATTAACAAAATTTAAGATTTTTTTGATAATTAAAATATTATAAATGATAATTAAAAAATTTAAATACTTTTAATAAATCAACACATAATAAGAGAATTGTTAAGGTTATTTAAAAATTTTCATTAATAGTCTTAATATTTTAAACGTTAAAAACATCCTAATTTCTAATTTTCCCTTATTAGATTATATATAACAAATCCTAATTGTAAAAGCTCATTCTTTCACCAACATATATAAACCATGAAAAGTATAGTTCAGCAACATCTTTGGACACTACAATTTCACATCAAGAAGAAAATAAAGGACTTGAAAAGGAAATGGATTGATACCCCCTACTAATATTCAGCCAGCAATGCAACTTTTTTTGGTGATTAATCAGCAATCTGATGATTTAACTTTTTTAGTTGTGTTAATTGCATGGCACCAAATTTAATTCCTGTACGTTCACGTCCTAATTGACAGATATATTTCTTCCCACCATGCAATGGCTTAAGATTGAAATTTCCTAGCTGTTGGTATGTTACATTTTCTTTCTTTAAAAACAATACAATACAAAAAAAGTACTAATAATATTTTGAAGATACATATATGATGCCAAACTGCTGATCAACTTCAAACAAATTAAATAACCAAAAATTTTATGATGTGAGGGGACAGTGTACCCTTTCCATTCCTCATATATTTATGGAGGGAAGCTTTATCTTTAAAGTCAGGGGAAGCTTTATCTTTAAAGTCAGTCCATGAAAAGAAGTCAAGTACATAAAAGAAAATATAGGCATTATGGCCACATAATTTAATTGTTGATAAACAAAAGCAAAGCTATTGTTTGTTAAATTATTAAGCACAGCTGTCTTTCAGAAAATGACTTGGTGGAAACTAACACATGCCAGCCATGTGTGGAAAAGTCGTCAAATTTTCAATTTGGATTTTATAATATAGTGTCTGCTTTTGCTTTATAATATAATATCTTTGGCTGACAAAAACAGTTGAGTCATGCTTATAAGCTTTCTAAATGAAAGTTTATTCTTTAAGCATTAGTTATTTATTAGTAATTTTTTTTAAAATAATATAAATTATAATATAATATGATATTATAAATTTATAATATAATATTATTATATAATTAATTTTTTTATTTAAGATTTTATATATAATATTATATATTATTTTTTTTAATAACATATCACACTTGTTTAATATTATATTATGATTATAAATTTATAATTTTACATGATATTTTACATATGCCATACAATTTGATTGCATTCATACCAATGATGATTGACTGAGCCCACCAGAGGTGAGAATTCAGATGGTGCGATCACTCGAGGTTCCATCTGTTTTACTACTTGTGAACAATCCCTCACACGTAGTCAGATCTCTAAGGGGACGTTCACATTCTCATGGTTAAAATTTTAAGTATATTTGAAGTTTTAAATTTTTTAATATTAAAATTATTTTATAATATTATATAATTCATTATTTCACGTAACAAAAACAATTACTTTTAAATTTGAGAGGTTATGAGTTATATGTTGAATATTACGTACCTTTCATTGTGTTTGAACCTTATTGCTTACAAGCGTGGCATATCTAATCTTGGTAGTTCTATTGCAAGAATCTTTTATTCATCCTTATAGACCGAGTTCCTTTATTCTTCCTTAACGTTAATTTGCGTATTTTGATTCAATTCCAGCGAAGAAATTCTCCCATCCATCTTTGTGGATTAGCTGCGGCAAGGTTAACCTATGGGCTCGCAGGGATGATGGTTTATGACCCTCCTTTGCCCCAGCCTCAGGCCTCCTAATTGGGCAGAGCAAGTCGTAATTGAACGGAAGATATCCAGGCCCATAACTTGATGCTTGTTCAAAGCTGTACTAAAGAAACCCAGGCCCATAACTTGAAGCTTGTTCGAAGATGTACTAAAGAAACCTAGGTCCATAACTTGAAGCTCAATCCAAGATCAAACAAAGCAAGAAACTTCGGGAGGACCAGGAGTAAGTAGAGTAGACTTGGTGACCCAGTAGCCGAGCAATGACAATGGTAAAAGCAGAATAAAACATTCAAGTACTCTTGGCAAAATTGAACGTACAATGTATGGTTATCCTTTAATTGTTTTCGTTTCTACTGTAAAAGAAAACAAGCAAGTTGTAACATAGATATAATGGGATTGTGATTTTGAAATGGTATGTTAAATCATTAACCAGATATAAACTAAATTGCTACTCCAATAATTAAACAAGTTAGTTCCTCGTTTATCAAACAAAAAAAATAAACAATGAAAAGCATGTTAGTTCCTCTATCAGGCAAGATCCTCCACGCAAAGCAACACATTTTCCACAAAATGAAGGATAAATCAAGAAGTCATCATCTATATATCGGAAAATGAAAATTCTATATATCCCCAAAAGAGAGAGAGAGGCACACAAGGGCTGCTAGTAGCATGTTGATAGTTCGTCCGGACATAGACAGTTTACTCACGCGACTCACGTCTGAGGTGGACCCTGCAGCAACCAGCCCATGTGAGCACTCATTAAAGAAAGGCGTCAATTTGCATATCAAATATCCATCAAAAATAAAAATATCTGCAAATCAATTAATGTTTGCATTTTACTCCTATAGAAATCAGGTCAATCAGTGACAATGAATAAATTTTGGGGTTCTAATTTTGGTAGAGAGATGGAATTCAGGTTCTGCAGAGCTTCAAGATCCGCCAAGTTAAGTCCAGCCAAAATTCCTAACAAACACAAGCGAGTTACTTAGCGGCTGCCTGTATCACTGGTTGAGGACTTTCATCGAACAATTGGCAGGCAATCTTCCATGTCAGAGCAATACCCATTAAGTCCTGTTTGTACGCGTAAGTCAACCCAAAAATAAAAATCCAACAGTCAAAGAGACAAAAACAGACGCAATTTCCACGAACTAAATAGTGCGTAGTAATTCACTAGTCAATGATTGGTTTCTTCATTGTTTTGGTGGCCTCACTTCTTATTGGTTTTGTTCATTACAATGGCTAGTTGTCAACCGCCCACATGTTAAATTGGGGAATTCCATTTTTTTTAATCATTTTATTGAAGTCTTCCGTATGTCACGCAGAAGTTTACATTCATAAAAGAGACTAACCAATCTTGATTGTGATTGTAAACAGGACTAAATACAGATACTTTCACTAAACTAACAAAGAAGAAAACTAGGATTGATTCTATTCCTTACTTGTGCGGGGCGGGATGCTTTGCTCATTCCTGAAAAAGTTTGCTGGATCAACAGCAGTCTTCACATCCACTAACCTCTCAAAGTTCTCAGTAAAATACTTTATCCCATAAACTTTACCCTCTTCATAGCTGCCCGTTTTACTGATGCCATTATCAATATCCCGGTACGGGAAAAAGGCCCTCCTAGGATTTTTGGACACAAAGGCAGTCATGTAACTATGAAGCCTGTTTACCAAATTTGTGTAATTCCTTTCAGCCTCTGCTCCAGGCTCATCCCAAGTGATTGAGTACTGGAGTTTATACAAATTCCCTGCTCTATGAGGCATTGGGGTATCTGTAGCTTTGATTTCATCCATTCTGCCTCCATATGGATTGAGAACCAAACCTGGTTTTCCCAATTCAATCATTCTTTTCCATAGCCACTCCAATCCATCTTTTGAAATTGGGGTCTGCACATAATCTGACTTTCTTTTCAAGAAATCCGCGTCGTCTGGATCTCTATCCAGCAGGACATCAGGTGATGTTCCATTCTCAAAATTAGCCCACCAAAGAACGGATTCAATCCAACTCATCTCCATACAATTTTCCTTCTTCAAACCCAGTTCAGGGAAATCCTTTTGCAACAGTGCCACCAGACCATGTGCACCTCCCAAATACAATGTCAAAATTGATGCTCTGACTGTTTTCTGTTTGTTTCTTGTTATTAGCTGCACAAGCATCCTCATAAACAGATTGTTATCCGTTGTCGGAGCAACGGTTTGCCACCGGAAAACAAAATCAGTGGCATTCTGATCCAAAGTTCTTTCAGCTCTAAAAACAGTAACTGTTTCTGGAACCGGAACTAACTTGATCTTGTAAGCCAAGACCACACCAAAACTCGCTCCTCCACCGCCTCTAATTGCCCAGAAAAGATCTTCCCCCATCCCCTCTCTGTCCAGAATTCTACCATTAACATCAACAATTTTAGCATCCACAACGTTGTCCACAGATAAACCATACTTTCGCAACATATTTCCGTAACCACCACCGCTAAAATGTCCGCCGACGCCGACGGTGGGACAAACCCCTGCAGGGAACCCATGGACTTTGCTCTTCTGCCAAATACTGTAATAAAGTTCACCGAGAGTCGCACCGGCTCCAACCCAGGCAGACTCTTCTTCCATATCTATAGAAATGGACCGCAAATTGAACATGTCAAGAATGAAGAAGGGCCGATCGGAAACATAAGATATGCCCTCAAAATCGTGGCCGCCACTACGGATCCTGAGTTGAAAACCCAGATTTCTGGAACAAATTACAGCTGCTGAGACATGGGATTCAAGCAATGGGGTGACAATGATTACTGGTTTTGGCGTGGAAGAAGAATTGAAACGAGCGTTGCGGATGTAAGCCCGCAAAACGGATGGGTATGAGGGATCAGACTGAGGAAAGAGTACATTGGAGAGTTGATTTGATGTGCTGGATTGGTTTGTGAAGCATTGGAGGAATGATTCATAGACAGAATCAGAGGCTGCAAATGAACATGGAAATTTGAACACTAAGAGAAACAGAAGAGGTAACATCGTTCGCAGGAAAAGCGAACTCATGGGTTTTGCACATGGAACTGATGGAAGATTGGGTTCTGAGTGTTTCGAGTTTGTCTGAAGCACGTTATATAGCAGCAATACTGTAACAGTATCATTCCACCCAAAAAAAATACTGTTAACAGTATGGGCAAAGAGGCAAATCAACCCATGTACTCTGCTAGTGTATGGTGTAAGCACGCACAGAGCGTGAGATTCGATTCCATTTGATGGGAGCAACTAAAGAGTAAAGATGAACAACACTAATTTAATGAAATAATTTAACGGTTAAAAATTTTATATTTTAAAATTAAAAATTTTAAATTTAAATTTTAAGTTAAGTAAGAGAAAATTTAAGAATAAAAAAATAATTTTTTAATATAATTCGTTATTAAATATATATAAAAAAAAAGAAAAATATAAACAACATTAAAGAATGGGCCAACTAACATTTATGTCCCAACGAAAACGTGGGTAGGACCAGTAAAATGGTGTTTGTA